AAGAGCTGCGGTGCATTTACTCAATGGAATACTACTTGCCTGTAAAAAAAAGAAGAAAATATGACTGTTTGCAACAGCATGGATGGACCTGGAGGGTTATTATGCTAAGTGGAATAAGCCAGTCAGAGAAAGAGAAGTACTACATATTTTTAATTCTTTTAAAAAAGATTTTATTTATTTATAGAGGGGAAGGGAAGGAGAGAGGGAGAGAAATATCAATGTATGGTTGCCTCTGGTGCGTCTCCTGCTGGGACCTGGCCTGCAACCCAGGCATGTGCCCTGACTGGGAATTGAACCACAGTTGTCTGATTCGCAGGCCTGCGGCTCAATCCACTGAGCTACACCAGCCAGGGAGAAGTACTACATAATTTCACTTACATGTGAAACCTGAAAAGCAAAATTAACTAACAAACAAAAGAGAAACATACTCATAGACACAGAGAGCAGACTGATAGCTGTCAGAGTGGAGGGGCTTGGGTGACTGGGTGAAAAAGATGAAGGGACTAAGCAAAAAGCAATAAAACAAACAAAAACTCCAACACACAGACAACAGCATGGTGATGACCAGAGGGAATAGAGGGTGGGGGGAGGTAGAAGAGGGTAATGGGCAGATAAATGGTGAGAGAGAGAGAGAGACTTGGCTTTGGTGGTGAAACAAAGAAGAAGAAGAAGAAGAAGAAGAAGAAGAAGAAGAAGAAGAAGAAGAAGAAGAAGAAGAAGAAGAAGAAGAAGAAGAAGAAGAAGAAGAAGAAGAAGAAGAAGGAGAAGGAGGAGGAGGAGGAGGAGGAGGAGGAGGAGGAGGAGGAGGAGGAGGAGGAGGAGGAGGAGGAGGAGGAGGAGAAGGAGAAGAAGAACAAGAAGAAGGAGGAGGAGAAGAAGAACAAGAAGAAGAAGAAGAAGAGCAAAAAATATTTAAAAAAAAAGAAATGAAAGCAAAAGTGCCTGGTGTAAGGTCATAGACTATGTGTCCAGTGGATCTGAGAATAACTGGGAGATGATAAAAGAACTGAAGGAACTAGAGATATCTGGGTTGAAGTAGACAATAGTCAGGGACTACTGACTGTATTTCAGCAATGCCCGCCCATTCTTTCTGCAGAGCCTCCATTTCCAGGCCTGTATACAGTAAGCAGGAAATTGTTTCTTCAAGACCTCTAAGGGAGGAGACAGAAGAGCATAATAGGTAGAGACACTCTAGCTTTCTTACCAAGAAACATGAACTTCAGATACTGTGCCTAGGCATTGATTCCATCACAGAGAGAGCCCTGGAGCCAGGAAATGCCTTCTAACCCCCAAATCGTACCCTGTACTCCAGAAAAAAGGATGGAAGGTCCATGACCAAAACTCAGCAAAGTCCTGAGTAACTTGTCCATGAGGAGAGAATGTACTTGTGGTTCTCAATCCTGCCTAAGAAATGGAATCATCTAGGGGTTAAAAACTGGTGTTTCCCGGGCCTCTATCAATAATCTGTGTGTTTTTAAAAATTTATTTATCTATTTATCTTTAGAGGGGAAGAAAAGGAGAGAGAGAGAGAGAGAAATATCAATGTACGGTTGCCTCTTATGTATCCCCCACTGGGAACTGGCCTGCAACCCAGGTAGGGTACCCTAACTGGGAATTGAATTGCAGTTGTGAGGTTCAGCAGACCCACGTTCAATCCACTGAGCTATACTAGCCAGAGCAAGAATTGGGTTTTAAACAAATACCTAAATTATGCAGCCAGAGATGAAAAGACCTTTACCCAGTTGTTCTCAAGTTTCAGCTTGAATCAGAATCACCTGAAAGGCTTTTTTTTTTTACTTTATTTTTATTGTTGACTCTGTTACAGCTGCCCCCATTCTCCTGACTCCCCATTTCCCCAAGGCTTTTTAAAACACATGTTGTTGGGCCCAACCCTCAGAGTTTTAGATTCATTTGGTCTGAAGAGGAGCCCAAGAACTGGAATTTAGCCCAGTTTCACAGGTGATGTTGAGTTACTGATTCAGGGACCATGTTCTATGAATAACTGGCATAGTGTATCTTTTTTTAAAGATTTTATTTATTTATTTATAGACAGAGGGGAAGGGAGGGAGAAAGAGAGGGAGAGAAACATCAGTGTGTGGTTGCCTCTCATGCATCCTCCACTGGAGACCTGGCCCGCAACCTAGGCATGTGCCCTGACTAGGGATTGAACCAGTGATCCTTTGGTTTGCAGGCCAGTACTCAGCACACTTAGCCACACCAGACAAGACTAGCATAGCCTATCTTAGTTTGATCTTGACATCAAACAATTCCCATGGCTTCTTCCTCAGTGGGTTCCTGCATGAAATAACTGCTAAGGGAATTGGGATTAGCCCCAACACTCTACCATACATATCACTGCGGAATACAATCAGCTCCCAAATTTCTAAAGGTCAGGAAGGGTAAGCAGAGGGTGACACCCACACAAACACACCTCAAGCCTCCTGCTTCATAATGGAAAGTTTTCCTTGGACAATGTCTGGCCCCTGCACCGAACAACAGGTTTTGACCTACTACAGAGTGCAACTGTGGGACCCGAGTCTCCATGCAGAAATGTCAGCACCCCAATCAATTTTCCAGCAGTAGATAAACTGAACTCTGATAGAAACCTAATCTTGTCAAATTTACACACGTTATCATGCCTCTGGAGAATGCTTGAGCCCCCCTTTTTAAAGTCTGATGACCCTATTGCTTTTACCGACCCCCCCACCGGGTTAGTCAAAGGCATTCTCAGGCTTGTACAAAGGACTTTTTCCGGTACAGTGTGGGAAAAAGTTCTGGTGAGTGTTTTTGGAAAACAGGATTTCATGACTCACCCAGGACCTGGGTATATGACACTCCTTCAATTAACGCTCTACACTACCTGCACTCTAGCAATACTCTCACTTGAAATGTTGCCATGAATTAAAATGCACGTGGCTTGTTATGATTATTTTTAAATTTATTTTTATATGTTTTGCTGCTATATGATTTAATAAAGTATATATATTAGGTAATTAAGGTATAGGTAATACTCTAAATTTTAGAGTATTTTGTTCATTTTAATTGTTCAAGTACAGTTTTCTGCCTATTACTCCCATCCCAGTCTACCCCCCAAGCCCTCCCCACCTCCCTCCCGCTTGCACCCCCTCTTATTTTTGTCCATGTGTCCTTTATACTTGTTCCTGCAAACCATTCCCCTTTTCAAATTTATTTTTTAAAGATTTTATTTAGTTAGTTTAGACATAGGGGGAGGGAGGGAGAGAGAGAGAGAAATGCCAATGTGTGTTTGCCTCTCGCGGGCCCTCTACTCGGGACCTGAGCTGGCCCGCAACCCACACATGTACCCTGACTGGAAATTGAACCAGTGACCCTTCGGTTTGCAGATTGACGCTCAATCCATTGTATTATAATAATCCATGTATTATTATTTTTAATACAGGATGTTTCTCGTGAAATTGAGAGGAGTGGATACTTCCATTTCTACTCTTGGAAGTGTTTTGAGAGTGCTATTTTTTGAAAATGTGCTGGGGATGGCAGAAGTAACAGAAGGGGTGATCCACCGTGCATGCTCTAGTTTGAGGGGATCTATGGAACTTGATGCCCAGAAAAGATATCTCAATTACTGAGCACTTTACAGTTTACAGTGCTCTCACATAAGCTCTGTGAAGTTCTACAGAAGAGGAAAGGAGGGCCAGAGAGGTAGCGTGATGGTGCTTAGTCAGTAAATGGTATGTATGATTGAGATTCAAGTGCAGACCGCTTGACCTCCAATTCAGGGCTCTTACAACCTCAGCACAAGCGGTCCAGGCACAGACCTTCCTGCCTGATCCCTAAGGCTGCTGTGCGGTCTCAGGGTCATGTGGGCTCAGAGCACTATCTAGAATTCCACCCCATCCTTCCAACTGCTTCTTTCTGGAATTTCTGAGGTGTGATGAAACCCAATCACGGATCCCTGTAGTGCTCAATGTGAAAGTTCACTCTAAACTTCCATATGTAATCTTAGAGAGCTTATTAGATTGAGAGCGAATATTTCAAAAGCCCTGTGATAGTTTGCACAGCATATTCTGTGCTGCTGGGATGGCAGCACCTAACTGAAGATGCATTGGGTATCCCAAGTTCTTTTCTCCCCAGGCTTATTGAGATATAACTGACATCTACCATTGTATAAGCTCAAGGTGCAAAATGCAATGAGTTGGAGTATGTATGTGTTTGGAAAAGATCACCACAATGAGTTCAGTTAACTACCATCACCTCACAGTTACAAAATTGTTTTCCTTATGATGAAAATTTTAAGATTTACTCTCTTAGCAACTCTCAAATGTACAAAACAGTAGTGTGAACTAGAGTCATCCTGTTGTACATTACATCCCCCAGATTTAACTTGTAACTGGAAGTTTGTACCTTTTTACCATCTTCATCCCATTCCCTCACCCTCACCTCCCTGCCACCTCTGGCAACCACAGATCTGATCTCTGTTTCTGTGAACATTTTTTTGTCAGATTCCACGTATAAGCAAGATTATGTGGTATTAGTCTGTCTCTGTGTAACTGGTTTCACTCAGTGTAATGTCCTCAAAGTCCACCCACGTTATTGCAAATGGCACGACTTCTGTGTTTTTTACAGCTGAATAATAATCCGTTGTACAAATATATCACATTTTCTTTATCCATTCATCCACTGTTGGACACTTAGATAGTTTCTATATCATGGCTATTGTAGATAATGATGCAATGAACGTGAGAGCACACATATCTCTTCAGATCTGAAATTCTTAAAAGCTACTTTAGTCACTGGGAATGAGTCTTGTTGGCTGATAAGAAAATAAATGCTACACCACCTTCATGTAGTACCACTGCATATGGTGAAATTTCTAAATAAGTTACTTTAAAGAATACCTATAATTTTCTTGATCCCTCAGACTCTAGTAATGCCATCTATCTCTTGGGACAATTCTAGGAAAGGGTCTTTTATTACACAGCAGCATACAACATACTAATCAAAGTTTAAAGAAAACAACATACCTGCAAGAAGCTCTTGGTCCACACTCCTGTTGCTCATCTTTCTGTACTCAGATTTTCTGTAAAATAAGGAAATTCTTTCTTGGGAAGTTTCAAAACTTCAAGATGATTGTTCTGAGCTAAGACATGTGATCGACTAAGAAGCATTTCTTCCTCTTCAGGCTTTATGGTTTGGTTTTGTTGTTTGATTTGCCCATTTTGGGCTCACTAAAGGAGTTTCCTCAGAAGTGCCAAAATCCTGCTTGGTGTGTGTTGCAAAGCAGATTTTTTAGTGTGAAGAACTTGTGCCCGTGACAGTTCCTCCAGATTTCTCGTTCCCTGGGAGCTCATGGGGTTGCTCAGCTCGTTCAAGCCCTGTGTTGGCAGCACTCCCACACACTCGTCTGGAACGGCACAAGTGAATGGGTGGAGAGAGGCCTCTCTTCCTTTTTTTTTCTTCCTGGAACTGGAAGTTTCCTAGCTGGAACTTCTCAGCTATGTTTGAGCTTTGGGGTCAGGCTGTGCGACCCTGCTTATTTCCCCTCTGACTCCTCCTTTTGGCCACAAACTTGGCTGCCTGTTAAAGAGATTACCCACATTGCACTGCATTTTCTTTAGTCTAGGGTGCGGAATTCCTTCCTTCTCCTAAATTATAGCCAGTAGAAGCTTGTGAAGACATTGGATTCCGAAGAAATTGGAGCCACATGATTATAAACCGATTCAAAGCATTTATGCTTTCATTGTTGTGGGGAGAAGTAATACTCCAGAAACCCATTTCCAGGGCCAGCCTTTGCCAGCACCGAGGAATTTCTAGGCAGGCCTTGGTAGTTTAACTTCAGTACTCTGTCCTTCACACATCTCTACAGTATCAAGTGCTGGAGGGGCAGTGGTGGTGGGGGGGAATGGCTGTCTACCACATATGCCACACTCCAGAAACTTGGGTATCCACCTTCTTTTGATAGCCCAATGCTCCTTATGTTTAAGTACTGCAACCACAACCTTTAGGTAGATGTGGAGCTCATAAAAAAGAGAAAAAGCAGAATAATATATTTTATAATAACATCATACTGGGGAAGGGGTGGGCTATACCTGAACAAAGTCTTTTTTTCCAGAGCAGGAGAGATTTTCCCCTGGGGTTCTCTCTTTTGGCTTTTTCTTTCTTTTTTTTTTTAATGACTTCATCCTCACCAAGCCATTATAATTATTTTTAAGATTTTATTAAAAGGGTTCTCTCTTTTGGCTTTTTCTTTCTTTTTTTTTTAATGACTTCATCCTCACCAAGCCATTATAATTATTTTTAAGATTTTATTAAAAGGGTTCTCTCTTTTGGCTTTTTCTTTCTTTCTTTTTTTTTTAAAAGTGACTTCATTGTCACCAAGCCATTATAATTATTTTTAAGATTTTATTATTTTTTTAAATATATTTTATTGATTATGCTATGACAGTTGTCCTATTTCCCCCTTCATTCCCCTCCATCCTGCACACCCCACCCCCACCATTCCCCCCTTTAGTTTATGACCACGTGTCTCAAGTTCTTTAGATTCCATATTTCCCCTACTATTCTTGCCCTCCCCCCTGTCTATTTTCTATCTGCTGTCTATGCTACTCATTCTCTGTACCTTCTCCCCCCTTCTCCTTCTCCCACTCCCCTGTTGTTAACCCTCCATGACATCTTCATTTCTATGGTTCTGCTCCTGATCTAGCTGTTCTCTTAGTTTGCTTTTGTTTTAGGTGTGGTTGTTAATAACTGCGAGTTTGCTGTCCTTTCACTGTTCATCTTTTTTCTCTTCTTTTTCTTAGATAAGTCCCTTTAACATTTCATAGAACAAGGGCTTGGTGATGATGAACTCCTTGAACTTGACCTTATCTGAGAAACACTTTAATTGCCCTTCCATTCTAAATGAAAGCTTTGCTGGATAGAGCAATCTTGGATGTAGGTCTTTGGATTTCATGACTTGGAATACTTCTTTCCAGTCCCTTCTTGCCTGTAAGGTCTCTTTTGAGAAATCAGCTGATGGTCTGATGGGAACTCCTTTGTAGGTGACTGTCCCGTTATCTCTTGCTGCTTCTAGGATTCTCTCCTTCATTTTAATCTTGGCTAATATAATGATGATGTGCCTTGGTGTGTTCCTTCTTGGGTCCACCTTCTTTGGGACTCTCTGAGCTTCCTGGATTTCCTGGAAGTCTCATTCCTTTACTCGATTGGGGAAGTTCTCCTTTATTATTTGTTCAAATAAATTTTCCACTCATGGCTGTTCCTCTTCCCCTTCTGGTACCCCTATAATTCGGATGTTGGAACGTTTAAAGATGTCCTGGAGGTTCCTAAGCCTCTCCTCATTTTTTTGAATTTTTGTTTCTTCATCCTTTTCTGTTTGGTCATTTTTTTCTTCCTTCTGGTCCACTCCCTTGATTTGAGTCCTAGTTTCTTTTTCATCACTACGGGCTTCCTGTGCATTTCCCTTCATTTCAGTTAGTTTAGCCTTCATATGTTCCTCTAATTTGTGACTATAATCAACCAGTTCCGTGAGCATCCTGATCCCCAGTGTTTTGAACTGTGCATCTGACAGGTTGGCTATTTCTTGGTTGCTTAGAGTTATTAGCTCTGGTGCTTTGAGCTGTTCTTCAGCCACAATGTTTTGGTCTGTTCGTGCCTGTTATGTATGAGGAGCAGAGCCTTAGGTGTTCACCAGGGCGGGGCAACCCAGGTTGCTGGGTTGTGATGCTGCATGTGGGGGCGGGGTCAGAGAGGGGCAATAGTGGTCCCCTCTGCTGCTTCCTGTCATTAGGGCCTGCACTGTCTGTCTCATTGCTTGCTCCTTTGCCTGGTTTTTCTGTGCATGACTGTGTGACCATGGTCAGCCTGCCGCCTTGTGCCCTCACTGGGTCCACCCATTGCTCACTGGGTCTGCCCGTCACAACCCCATGCCTGGGATCTGCCAACTGCTGCCTGTGCACCCGGGTCGGTCTGGCCGAGATTTCCTGCGCAACCCTGCTCCGCCAGTCGCTGGCTCTGCCCCTCTTACTGGTTTGGATGAATGGTTTGCTGTGGTCAGACTTCCATATAGTTCAATTTTCTGTGTTTTGGTTGTTTTTTTTTTAACTAAACCTTTGTTGTCTTTAAACTTGGTTGTGCGAGGAGGCACAGTGTTTCCAACTACGCCTCCATCTTGGCAGGAAGTCCCATCTTGGCAGGAAGTCCTTAAGATTTTATTTATTTATCTTTAGAGGGGAAGGGAAGGAGAGAGGGAGAGAAATATCAATGTGTCGTTGCCTCTCATGCGTCCCCTGCTGGAAACTGGCCTGCAACCCAGGCATGTGCCCTGACTGGGAATAGAACCATGATCCTTTGGTTTGCAGTCTGCACTCAATCCACTGAGCTACACCAGCCAGGGCTCTTTGGGCTTTTTCAAGCCTCTCACTCATACTATGGAGCATTTGTGGAATAATAATAATAATAATAATAATAATAAGAAGAAGAAGAAGAAGAAGAAGAAGAAGAAGTTGCTGGGAAAAATTAGGGAACATTTATCATATCCCAAGCATTGTAATGAGTGCTTTACATGTATTTACACAGGTAAGAAAATGGTTTATGAGGTATTATCACTTTTGCAGTTTTTAGATGAGGAAACTGGGACACAAAATAGTCACCTAACTAGCCCCAAATCACCCAGCCAGTAAGGAACAGAGCTGTGCTAGTATCTCTGTTCCACCAGGCACCTGTGTTGCTTCCCTTGAGCCTGTGTACTTTTTCCTGCCAGGCTGAGCTAGTAGTCTCTTCCTCTTCTGAACTTTCTGGATGTGCTCTGAGGTGTCTTGTCTGCCTTTAAAAATATTATTAGTTTTAGCTGAGACAATTTAGAAAAGCAGGAAACAAATTTAAACAGAAAGTCACACTAAGGGACACCACTGCTGAAATAGTCTTTTCATTCATGTTTCTGGGAGTACTATTCCCAGGAGATTTTTCCCAATAGAAAGGCTACCAGCAAGATATCCTGCCTTTCCTGGCTGCTCGGAGATGGTTTCTTTACATATTTCTTTCCAGAAACCATGTATGACCAGTTCTCTCACCTGAGTTGCAAGGAAGGCAAAGGTAAAGCCTCTCTCTGGCTCATTATGTAGGTAACTTATAGAAGAAATTTATGGTGCTAGTAAGTGCTGTTTTTGTTGGAAAACATACCAGAGTGCTGGTCTGGATGCTCTCTGAATTACGCAAGCATTATCAGCCAAATAGCCTATAAACTAGGGGTGTCAAATTCAGTTTCACTGTGGGCCATATCAGTCTCATGGTTGCCTTCAAAGGTCAAAATGTAATTTCAACTCCTTAACAGTTAAGGAGTAGTTACATCTATACAGTCCTAAAATTACCTGGCTACTAGCCTTGGTTGGTGTGGCTCAGTGGGTTGAAGCACTGATTCCCATGAACTGAAGGGTCACAGGTTTGATCCCTGGTCAGGTCACATACCTAGGTTGTGGGTTTGATCCCTTGTAGGGGCACTTACAGAAGGCAACTGATCGACATTTTTCTCACATCCATGTTTATTTCTCTCTCTATGTCTCTAGAATCAATGGAAACATGCTCGGGTGAGGATAAAATAAATAAGTAAATAAAAAGATGTTCTGCTGTGGCTGGTATGGCTCAGTGGTTGAGGGCCAGCCTGTGAACTAAAGGGTTGCCGGTTGCATTCCCAATCAGAGCACATGCTTGGGTTGCAGGCCAGGCCCCCAATAGGGGGCGCATGAGAGGCAACCATACATTGATATTTCTCTCCCTCTACACATTATTTCTCTTCCTTTCTTTCTTCCTCCCTTCCCCTCTCTAAAAAATAAATAAATAATAAATAAAATCGTTAAAAAAATATGTTCTCTGTGAGATGCCTAGGGTTTATCAGTCTTGAGTTATTAGATGTAATCCAGAAAATCAAATCCTATTTTTTTCTCTTTTGAAACATTGTGGTAAAATGTAAGATAAAAGTCACCCTTTTAAGCACTTCAAGCATACAACTCAGTGACATTAAGTGCATTCACATTGAGTCACCAAATCAGACCTACACATACCTGCGTGTGTGTCTTTGAAAAAGCAGACCACACCTCCTGTTGGTAATGAATATCTGAGTACCTGCTGATGTTCTTTTCATGAACCCAGAAAAGTGACAGCCTCTTCAGAAAGTCACTTCCTACCTATTTGGTAGGTCTAGCAGTTCAGAATTAATTTCCTTGTCTTTATAACACTCTTAAATAACACTCTTAAATAACATTTTTATTCCTTTCTTCCTGCATATTGTAGCTTAAGATGGAGAGCACAAAAAGCCTCCTCTATTCGAAACTGTTCCTTCTGACACATCCGTACAACAAAGGTTAGACCATTAATTAGTTTTTTGTGTTAAGGTATGGACCATAAACATGTCACCTATCACTCGTTTGCACACTATATGCTCAACAGAAAAATGGGATAAATGATGTCTGTCTTATTCACAGAGTATCTGTAGGAGCCAGTGAAA